TATTGGATACATTAAGTGTCAGGATATTCATGCTGAGTTGCGAACTCCTTCTGAGAGTGATTTACGAGTAGCAGCGAGTGCGGAGGCATCGACTTTGATAGCTTGTACAAATGGAACTCAATCACCATTCGAGCATCTTACAGTAGGTGTGTTTCGAGAGTTAATACAGCCCGAAATTCTCCTCCTTTCGGACTTTTAGAGAACCTCACTTCGAGTTCTACACCGCCGGAGGAGTTTGGGCGGGGTTTGCGGGGGAGTTTATGGAAAGGCTTTCCAGGAAAGCGTCGGTATACACTGGTGGGTTTCCGCTGTGTACATTTTGTAGCAGGATGGGCTGAATCTCGTGACTGGCGAAGTCCCTTGTCGTGTAAGATGACACAATGATAACACAGTCTCATCACTGTGTCATTGCGACGGTCGCAATGCGACCGACCTCTATAGACAGAACGCAACATTCACAGATATGGAAAAACGTGAATCATGATTTTAGTCATCAGCAACAAAGCGGCCAATGAAAAAGCGTAGAGCTTCTGTCCGCTCATCGGAAAAAAGTGAAATAATTCATTCATGGGATGTTCAATAGAGTTTATTGAATAACCATTGTTTATCAATAGCTTGAGTTCTATCCTCCAATTTCGAATGTATTCCATAGTAATAGGGACCGACAAGGGTCAGTGGAGTGAAACAGTGAATGTTTATTACGCCAGCTGGTACTATGGATAATCCACACTGTGGATTCCACAGTTCCATCTGGTAATGGCATGAATCCGTCGGAGTGTGCAACGCCCAACGAAGTTCGTCGGGATATTCGTTGGCCCAACGTTAATATCGTTACCATATTGGGATAACATTGATCAGAAAACTCCATAGAACCATCTCCGGGAGCGAGGGCTCCTCTACTTGAAATCGAGTGATAATTGACAGTAAGTTATCACAGATAGACCGATTCCAAGTGGGGGCAAGTTAGTTACTAACTTGAAATCGTATCGTAATCGCCGGAATTCTCGGCCTGAATAGTTTCCATAAAGATGCCGTTGAACAAGCGAAATTTTGGATTTCCTGATTGACGAGAAAAGTTTGGATTTTCCTGCATCTCGCCGACACGCGTGCGCATGCCAACGCAACGCAATGGCTTTGAATGGTCGCATTAGCAAATCGCCGAAGCTGACGTGAATGGCGACTTGCTACTTCTGGTATAATCAAAAGAAAGTGCGTCATAACGCTCCTAGAAAAGTTAGTTTTGTATAGTTATATATCTCATCGCTTTACCAAGTCAGAGTTTACCCGCCAGAATCTGTTGCATAGCCTGTTGCATCTCGAGAGGCTTATTGACCTGAGACGCCGCGTCTTAGGAAACCCTCTCGACCGTAAGGCCGAAAAAATACGAGCTTCCTCGCATCCTGTCACTTTTGTTGATATCGAACGTCAGGGCGAGCGCGTGCGAGATGTTCGCAAGTTGCAAAACAGGCCAGTAACTGGCCGCCAGTTACGTTGCGTTCATACCCCACTGGTCCCAGTACCTCATCGTGGTGTGGAGGTTACTGTATGGTGAATTCTAACAAGATCGAAACTGGGATCAAGCTGCCACCACTTACATGCTACCCCACCGAGGAAGAAATTCTCACCTCGGGTTCGTCACTGTCGTACTCTGCATTCTGCTCCAGGATTTCTGGATTTCTCTGAGAGCGCCGTTATGCTGGATAGCTTCGTCCGCATTGGAAAAAGCTTTCTTAGTGCATTAACATACTGGGACCCAAGACAGCTGATAGTATGAGCCAGGCTGTAGTAATGCCGGGGTTGAAGTTTAACGAGTTTGTTCAACGGTTGAACTGAATGTTTGTAAAGGTTACCGTGAACTTGAAGTTAGCCTCGATACAGATCTTCTCGGTTGATTGTGCTGAAGTGATAAACTCAACTTCCACCAGTCTAGGAATACTGAATCTGTGATTTACGCAGTACCAATAAGTGCAGTGAGATCGGCTAAAATATCTTTAAGCTCGCACAATGAAGGATACAATGGAACACAGTGGAACAGCACGTGTGCACCTGCACCTGCGTACATGTCCTTACACAGCAGCTTAACTAAAAAGGGCTCGCATCCGCACAGGTGAAGTTGCATTCAGCTATATGATAGTTATTTATCTTGAGGGACTTAGGCTTTGCACTCGCTATCGCCTTACCATAATCAGTTTTACCATTCAAATGGCTCAGCCAGGACAGTGCACCAATAGAATTGGTGATGTAGTCAGACTACAGTAGGCTTGATCGCCATTGAATACGAAAACCTGAAACCCTTCGGAGACCTTGCAAATGCACGAGCAGAGCGATCTTTGTCTCACCTTCAGACCTTCATCGAGAACGTTTGATACCACGCTGGTTGTATCGTAAGATAAGTACATGTCAAAATCCTTGAAAACCTACGTTAGTAAACTGGAGCAATCCGGACAAACTAACTTTTCACCTGATGATTTCTCATAAACCAGTGTTTGCTCACTTCCATCCTTGCCTGCACATTTTTATCGTTCATACGACGTTCGGCCTGAGAGAGTTTGACAACCAGGGAGATTGAGATGAGTGTCTCTGCGCAGGATGGTCCGCACATGGCCTGTCAGAAGCTGATAGTTGCTGAATTCACTACCTACTGAATGCACGTCGTATCTGACATGAATGAAGTGGCTGTCGTAATTCAAAGCATTCAAAGTTCTTACGGACTCATTAGCGCCTCCTCAAGGGGACTTAGAATAGTATGCCAAACCCATTAGATTAAGTTGCGGAGCGAGCGAAGCGAGCGGAGCGTATTCTCTCACTTTACTAACACTTTGTGCGTGCGTGCGTGCGTGCGTGCGAACAAATTATCCAGCTCGATCTAGAGAGGTTATGATCACATGCTATACACCATTCGATAGCTCTCGCTCTGGGGATACTAGGAAAAATACGAAATTAGGGTTCCGCCCGGACCATGTAGATTTCCGTGCAAAAAACATATTTTTGCAGAAAAACGCCAGGCATGGGAATCGAACCCGGATGCCGAGCTCCGTCCCTTCTCCGAGAAGGCCTAGTTAACACTGACCCAAATAGAGTCGAGGTAACCAATATAGGAGTTCTAATAATTCTATGAAATACTCACGAACCAACTAGCGTCACAGCTTAAAGATACTGCGAGCTGTACGCCACAAAAACAACGGGGACAGATAGAGACGATCCGGTACATCCGTCCTCCTCAAGCGTGCTCAAACTGTTGAGCATCATCACATTATAATAAGGATAATTGCGGAGCGAGCGAAGCGAGCGGAGCGTATTCTCTCACTTTACTAACACTTTGTGCGTGCGTGCGTGCGTACAAATTATCCAGCTCGATCTAGAGAGGTTATGATCACATGCTATACACCATTCGATAGCTCTCGCTCTGGGGATACTAGGAAAAATACGAAATTAGGGTCCCGTCCGGACCATGTAGATTTCCGTGCAAAAAACATATTTTTGCAGAAAAACGCCAGGCATGGGAATCGAACCCGGATGCCGAGCTCCGCCCCTTCTCCGAGAAGGCCTAGTAATCTATTCAGAAACAAATCACATCAATAGAGACGGGACTATCAGGCTTCAATCGAACTCAGCCAGTACTTCAACCTCTCAAGTTCCGACCTCGTTCTCAGCATACCAAGGGGGAATAAAGGCTGCTCAATACAGACAGTCATAGGGTCTCCATTCACATCAATAACCGGTTCGACAATATTGGCTCCAGAGAGTCGAAACACTTGGAGTTCCTCAAGACTAATGGGATGTTCAAATAATCGACTGGCCCAGTCGGACTGGGTAATCCATAAAATGCTTCAACCTTGATATCGTTACCATAACGATCACAAACCGGACCAACGAGACTGCTATCAACTGTATCCCCGTCCTCCCCGAGCCAAGGCTTCAAATTACGTTGACGCTGAGCATAGGGAATTTTGGAGCTGCCTGTGTCAACATCATAGGTGGCTGATCTGAGTACTCTTCTCACCACATAAGGCCCTCTACAAAGGTTGTCCAACTTAGTCTTTCTGGGATTTCGGACCAAAACCAAATCACCCTGATTAAAATTGTAAGAACTTGGAACAGCTGGCTGCTGAAGCTTCTTGGCATAAGATAGGCTACGCAATGCAGCTGTTATGGACCGATGGCGAACCTCATAGAATCCTCCAACCCATGGAGACCTGAACATAATCTTACGACTCCGAAAACTCCATGACTGGAGTGCCGCCTGAACGGTCTCAGTAAGCAACTTACTGCCATTTTCATGTATGGCCGACCTCTGAGCAACTCTCACATCCGATGGGTACCCCCAACGGCCACAAATCAGAAGAATACCCCTACTCACATCCTCAGCACATGCTGATCTGCGACTCACCAATTCAGTGTAGCGAGTTAATAAACAAGTAGCGCTGAGTATATAGCGCGCCCCCGACGATG